CGTAACGGGACATGGCTGGCTGAACCGTAACGGGACATGGCTGGCAGCGTTTATGGTAGGGTAGTCTATTGAGCTACGCACGTCCAAAAAACATAAAATAATTTCGCCGACTTACAGACTTTAGGGTAGGCTTAACTGCCTACACCTAAACATCTGTAAACGGTCAATGCTAATTTCTACCAACGCTGCGAACCATGTGCCGCTACATTACTAATAATAATTTACTTTAAATTAGATTGCTTTAATGATGATGATGATGATTAATGTTATGGGCATCGACTGCCATGGTCATTAGCCCAAGATTGCTTTAATGTTACATAATATTATCAGCTATCATTCTAATTATGGTAATAGTAGAGAAAAATGAGGCCAATGCATTCTCATTGTAATCTCAGTGTAATGCGCTTGATAAGAGAGGAAGAAATAATATTGCATATGTGGCACAATAATGCCAAAAAATATCATATATAAATATGAAAAATCATATGAAAGAGTTTAAATAATGTTTCCTTCAAACGAAAACGACAATTAGTGTTCATTTTTCATAACAAAATGAACTTTTCTCAATTTTCTTTATAAGCATGTATGTACCATATTAGGTGCCATCTTTTCTACTCTGTGATGTTGATAATTTTTACATTTTTTACCATAATTTCAAAATTTTTTAATTTTTGTGTAACTAATTATTAACATTCGAATTATTTCCGTAATATTTCAAAATTAATTTCATTGAGTTGTATCCCACCTTTTTTAATTAATTTTGATTAATCAATTGGTACAAACGTTAACATATAGTAGACATAACTGTATAAACATATTTTTTGCAATATAAATTATGTATAAATAGTTTAAGATTACTTCATGAATTTTTCTAATAGAAAAAATGATTGTAACAGTTATTATTTTTATGCTAAATGTTGAAAAATATTAATCGAATAATGCAAACTTAAAATTAAGAAAAGAAGTCTCCAATTTTTTAAAATAATAGTAATCGAAAAAAATTAGTTAAATTTATGCACCTGTTTCATAGTATATTAATTTAATATTCTTTTAAGAAATCATACTGTATGAAGATTACACAACGAAACTTCATATTCAAGATAATTTAATACTATAATAATTCAATAAGTATAAAGCTATTTTTTATAATTGTTTACATAAGGTACATTCAACACCTATACTATGTATACTGATAAATGCATTGATTAAACAAAACTATGTATTTTTTTATCTCCACGAAAGTGTATATTTAAGATACTTGTTTTATATATAATTGTCATATTTTGCATATATTTGACACATTTTTCAGACATGAAAATATTTTACACATATGTTTCATATATGTATATGTGACACATTTTGCACATATATTTTGTATGTACCTCACATATTTATTACATATACTATGAAGGTATTTAAACATAATTAAATACAATAAGATATTAACATAAGCTTTGCATGTAGGTGATATATTTTGCATGTAGTAATATATTTGCATAAATTTTTGCAGTCTACACATGACACATTTAATACTAGACAATCGTCTATCACATATCAAGTATGAATATAAATACAAATCTCATAATTTATAATTCCTGTACAATTTAAATAATCAAACAAAGAATAGTAAATTAGTATTTAATTGCGAAGACTCGTATTATCTCACGTACTTATTTCGCTTATTGTAAAATACTCAAATAGCATAGATAAGCTAATTGTAACAGAATATCTGAGTCACATTACGGTGCGTTTACTCTAATTGGATATGAATGCAATGTTTACCTTCCCTGTACCCAATAGGTAAAACCCAACATTTTTCCTGTTCAACGTTACTTCCTTTTCTTCCACGAATTGTATCAAGGTCAGAGAAGAAATGTGTATTTGTTCTTTTAATGTAAACGCACCGTTGTATAAATGTTTGATTGTTGAAAACGTAGAATACAATTTGTTTATATGTTTCCTTCCCGTTTAGAAAATTTGAAAATTCTTTCATAGAACAATTCAAAAGTATTGTACCTCAATTTTTTTGTTAACTTTTAGCTGAAAGTAATTTTTCGCAAATAGAATTTAAAAGTAATTTTTTTAAGTGAAATTTGAATTAAAAGTGATTTTCTGAAAGTATCAAATTTTGAATAAAATTCTTAAATTAAAATTATCAATTTTATAAATGACAGTAATTATATTCGATCAAAAAAAATTATGTACCAATTATAAATTTTTTAATTAATATTTGTCAATCGACTTTTAATGTCAATACACTTTTCACGATCGAAAATTTCTTTCTTAAATAAATTTCGTAATTTAACAATTTTTAATCGAATTTAAGATAAAAACAAATTTAGCAATCTTTAGTACTAATCTAACATAACAAAAACTCTGCTTTTATTATATTAATAAAATATTTTAGAATCGACGAATTTTATCGCAGACTTCACCACATTTGCAACTCAAAAAAATTCACTTCAAACTTACCCTGACTTGTGAAAATAAACACAGTTCTATTTGACACAATATCCCATGTTTTGAACAGAAACAGTAGCTCACTTTAGAACTTATGGTCTCGTTCGCTGCGGATTCAAGAATATATAGAACGCAATGGAGGGGAATCGAAGAGTTTTAAGAGGAGTAGGAAGCGATAATGAAAGACACTGAACTGTATTATTTGTTGTACAAATTTTCCTCGTACAGTTAAAAATAATAACAGTACAAAGACTCGTACTAATCTCTTGTATTCATTACCTAATCATTGTCTATAATAATTTCTAATAATTACAAACAAATATCAATGAACGTTGCAGGAAATTTGAAATCTGCTAAAGAAACAAAGAATTATAATTGTCTTTCAATAATGATCGCTAGTGATAAACTATAATACAAATTCATGTAAGTATAATTTATTGCAAATATAGAATACTTCTGTGCAAAATAAAAATCCATAAATATATTTTGATGAACACCAAATTCGAATTTAAAAATTAAAAATTTAATATATATTTACTTAATATGTGTACCATACATTTGATTATAAGAAGTTTGGCAAAATGAATTAATTGAAATAAAAAATAGTTTGATAAAATAAATGAATCAAAATAAAAAATAGTTGGGTATTGGAATTAATTAGAATAAGAAATATTAGTTTAGGAATGTAGATTAAAAATAAGCATTAGTAATTATTGCTACAATTAATTTGGTAATTCTCAAATTTTTGATATTCCTAAGATTATTGGGAAACCTTTGTATTTTTATAAGAAATTTAGAATATACTAGAAACGTATAAAACATATTTTTAAGGTTTGGTACTTCGTAAATAGGTTTTCCGCAAAACAATAGCCACTTATTAATAAATATTAATTTAGTAAAGTGCAATTAATAAATTTTCATATTCATAAAATAGAGAACCGGTATTTTTAATTTTATTCACTCAAAAATAATACAAATTCGTATTCGCACACTTATGAAATTGTAATTTAAAAGAAGAAAAGAGAAAACGAATGGGAAACTAATGGTACACTATGTTTTAAAGTAACATAATTTAAAATATATGTTATATATTTAATATATTCAAACTATTTCGCCAGAAATATGCAAACAGATAAACTTTCATAGTTTAACTAAACATTTGCATATTTCATAATAGGAAAATATATTTAAAAACGAGGAAATATGGATTTACTTATCTTCACTACATAATCATACTTTGTGTTTATTAAACTGTAAATACATAATCAATATTTATGAACAAGTCACTGACATATTTTTAGCGTTCACGACTTTCCTGCTATCGATAAATAAAAAATTATATCGACATATCACACATAATTCAGTCATCAATGTAACATTGATAATAAAACCTTGAACACGATTAATACCACTTGATACTTCTGATTACTTATAGTTCAATTAATTCTTGCATAACACATGAAGTTGCAATTTCTACAAAATATTTTAATAAACTTTTATTTTTAATACCTTACATTTTATGAGTGGCGTTATACATGTTTGCATTATAATGATTACTGGTAATTTTAGAAGCAATTTTATACATAGTACTGCCTCTCTAACTAAAAAACTAAATATTAATAGTTCCCCTCTTCTTTGGCAACTTTTGCTGGGACTCTTCGGCATATAGCCTCTTCTCTCTTCGGCGTTGCCTCACGAAATTTTACGGTAACTTGGACATTCTTAGATTACAATTACATAAATTCTCAATTTGGCTATCAATCTCCATAAACGGATAGCAGACAGTTTTATAAGAATAAAATTGCATCGCTATCCATTTATTTCCATCGATAACAAAATCAAAATTTTATGTAATATGTAATAAGTTAATTTAGTAAGAAAAATAATTACTCAAAATAAAAATACGACCAGCGATTCTCAGGATGCGCTGTCCATAAAAGAATGTCCGAGCAGAATATTTTATTTCATTGCACTTCACTTCACTTCATTGTATACTTCATTTTCGCAGTCGGATCTAGAACCCGACTGCGACTTAAAAACTAAAAGGCCTGGCCTGAAGGAAAAATCGAGTTCAAGAGACGTTAAATACATTCATATTTAATTTTTCTCTTCTCGATTTTTCGTAAAACCACCAGATGCAAGCATCTCACGTGTGAGAGAAGGACAGAGAAACATGAAAGCTTGCTCTGGCCCTACCTACTTAAAACTAACTCATTCACACCAGAAGTAAGCTACCTGCCTGTCTATCGCTATATTTAAAAAATTGCAAAGTCCATTCTCACAAAAACACACTCCACGATTTTCACACATACAACCCGGGTGCAAAAAAGCCTAATTCTAGGGAGTACGTCCCGGGACGTCTCCGACACCCGAGTTCAATACTACATTCACACTCTAAGTTCATACCTTTTTGCTGAAATCGATCGACAATCGACAGTGAACGAACATATTTCATTTTCTTATTCTTTCGAATATTCAATGTAATGTGTACATGTAATAATTTAAACTACTCATACAATTTTCTAATTTCATAACTTTATATAATTTTCAAATGATTCGATTGGCATTTTGTATGCATTTTCAAATGACTCGACTTGCATTTTGTATGCATTTTCAAATAGAATTTTGCAAAGTTTAAAAAATAAATCTATAGTTTAATCGACACAAGGTCCACGACCTAACCACACACACACGTGCAACTTGTGCCGATAATTCACTGTCAATTTGTCGATCGCCAAACATCTTTAAAACTAAACCGTGTCCACCTGCCCTAACCCATGCGAGTAGCATCTAAGCACGCGCATGAGTATAGAGCATAAAAATGAACACGGCCACATGTATTTTAACACGGCCAACCATATTTTGACCTACCAGTTTTTTTCATGTATGCAGAAAATCCTGAGCTAAAAAACATGATTAGAAACATGCTAATAAAGTGTCTTCCAGCAAAAATTGACTCTAACTTTAAAAAATTTTCAAAATGGAAAATGGAAGATCACTTTGCAAAAATCTAAGTTATCGGTAGTTTCATTTTTAACAGATTTGTGATATCAAAGTAAATTTCTAAATGACAAACATTCGTAAATTTTAATAACTTTGATATCGAAATCTGTTCTCCGCGAAACTTTCTTGTACATATGTATTTGAAAATTGATAGAATTTATAAAAATGTAAAAAGTATTTAAAAGTGACTCAATAACTACTATGAAATCGGAGGGTCATCCGACTTCCATGTAGTTTTAAAAATTGATAAGAAAAGAAAAAATGTACAAGAAAACCCTGACCTGATCTAAGAAATAAAATAAACAATTTGTACGAATTTTGCACGATCGTATAGTCGTGGTCACTATGCTCGCTCAAAATTAAAAAATACAACCAGTTCCCGTGTCGCTTCGGACCATTCGTCCTACGACATGATGGGAACCGGAAGAACCGTAAAGCATGCGACTCACCGATCGTTGACTTGCATCACTGCGATCGTTTTACCGGTAGGGCATCTGAGACTGCACATCTGGTAGGTATTGCATCTTAGAGGAATTGACTGGTTGGCTGTTTGGTTGATTGACTGCTTGGCTGCTTTCGTCAGATTTGGATATGGCGATTTGGCAATAGACCTTCTGTAATCATAACAGAGTCACAGCAATTAATTAACTGTTCATCGATTTGCATTTTGATAACATACATGTCTTTTCGACAACTACTTGTAACAAATAGAGGCATACAGAGCTAAGCACAATACAGGAATCGGTTATAAATTTGCAAACGTTCATGTCACAACGTGAAATGTAAAATATTTGAAAATGCATGTTAAAACAATTGAGTAATTACTTTTGAGAACATAGTAAACGTTTGCAAAAATATAACGGAACACATAGATAGCTACAGTTTAAACACCAGTAACAGTTTGTCAAAACATTTCAGTAACCACTACATAAAGTACACAATGACACCAGTAACAGTTTGTCAAAACATTTAAATAACCATTGCATAAAGTACACTAAAACACTAGTAATAGTATGCCAATACAATTAAATAACCATTGCATAAAGTACACTAAAGCACCAGTAGCAGTATGCCAATACACTTAAATAACCATTGCATAAAGCACAATAAAGCACTAGTACTAGTATGCCAATACACTTAAATAACCATTGCATAAAGCACAATAAAGCACTAGTACTAGTATGCCAATACACTTAAATAACCATTGCATAAAGCACAATAAAGCACTAGTACTAGTATGCCAATACACTTAAATAACCATTGCATAAAGCACAATAAAGCACTAGTACTAGTATGCCAATACACTTAAATAACCATTGCATAAAGCACAATAAAGCACTAGTACTAGTATGCCAATACACTTAAATAACCATTGCATAAAGCACAATAAAGCACTAGTACTAGTATGCCAATACACTTAAATAACCATTGCATAAAGCACAATAAAGCACTAGTACTAGTATGCCAATACACTTAAATAACCATTGCATAAAGCACAATAAAGCACTAGTACTAGTATGCCAATACACTTAAATAACCATTGCATAAAGCACAATAAAGCACTAGTAATAGTATGCCAATACTCTTAAGTAACCATTGCATTAAGTACACTAAAGCACCAATAACAGTATGGCAATATACTTAAATAACCATTGCATAAAGTACACTAAAGCTCCAATAGCTCTTATTTTTTATCTTAATCCAATTTACTCTTTACTCTACTCTACTCTCTACTCTCTACTCTCTACTCTCTACTCTCTACTCTCTACTCTCTACTTTCTACTCTCTACTCTCTACTCTCTGTTCTCTACTTTCTACTCTCTACTCTCTACTCTCTGTTCTCTACTTTCTACTCTCTATTCTCTACTTTCTACTCTCTATTCTCTACTCTCTACTCTCTACTCTCTACTGTCTATTTCTACTTTCTATTCACTTATTCGGAAACGATACACGCGGCGCCATCTACCAGTAGGAGGTTAGAACTAACGAAACCACAGTTTCAAAAGTGTGTAGCTCACCCTGCTTGCCGGAGAGATGGCGCCACGGGGTTTATTTTTGAAAAAATTCAAATTATACTAATCTTATTGACTGAATTGACAATAATATGCATCAGATTTCATCAGCAGTATTAATTATCTACCGAAATGCTTTGATTTCACGATAATTAGTTATGCCATTATTTATATATCTTCATGGTAAAACTTTAGAAAACCGTCAAGCTCCGATGTCGTTCAAATTTTATGAATTAACTCCTTTTTGTAAAAGAGAATACTTGTGAAAATGAGTTTTGGTGACTCGAACGAAATGTTTTTAGTATTTTTACTATTCCAATTTACTACATTACCGACGAGACACAGTATAGTGTGCAAACTGTTCGGAACACATAATCCGCATATTCGTGCATTTACTTTATTGCTGCTTCCTCCAAATCTTCCACTTACACAGTTTACCCATGAACCGTCGGCAAAGCAAGGAACCACATAAAAAAATAATATTATTTTTCGAATCACCAAAAGTCGTTCTCACAAACGTCGCCTTTTGCAAAAAAAGCTTATTTGCAAAATTTTATGTGATTTAGTGTATCTCGGTTTGCCGAAGAACATCCCAAAGAGATATGTACCAAATTATCGATCGTGCAAAAAGCATCAATGCTTTTATTATAAGATTTGTAAATCTTCCAAATGTGCATAAATGTAGAATTTATAATATATCCTTACCGTTATACAAATACAAAATAACCTAATACAAATATTATAAATGTAATTCCTGAAATCATAGTATTATATATCAGAAGGTGTAACAAAATGAAATTTATAGCTACACAGGTATTTTCGATTGTGAGACACAAATTCTAACAAGTTAATTTCACTCTATATTTCATTTATGGAATATGCAGTATATTCCGAGATATCGGTACTTTAGTTAACTCGACACTGAGCTATCGATTTATTTCGCTAGTGGTTCTAGTGTCGTTTAACCTCACGCTTCCTCCATGTCTCAAGCTATCTAGAATGTCTCTATTCATAGATTTAACCAATATGTGCTGAAAACGTGTGACTTGAAGTTTTAGAATGATTGACAGGTAAAGTGAGTGAGTACATACCAAGTTTAACGCATTGATAGAAGAGTGTTGAACGATAACATAACTATTTGGTGTTGAAACAAAAGTGTGGTTTTAAAGATTCTGTTAAAAATGTCGGACTATTTTGAGGAAATGGGATGGACACCGTTGGGAGATGGTGAAGCACCGAATCATTTAATACAAATGGCTAGATTGTTACGAGATTTTGGTATGTGGGATTTGTTGGGACAAACAACGAGGTTACCACCACCCGCGTCAAAATTGGCGATCAAAAATTTACAAGAAGTCGAGATTGGTCCGTCAGATTCGAAAGAGTGCCCTGTCTGTTTAAAAGAATTCGAAGCAGGAATAGTAGCAAAACGCATGCCGTGTAAACATATTTTTCATCAAGAATGTATAATACCGTGGTTAGAAAAGGTATCAATTTCTGCTAGTCATTCTTATCAGATTTTGTAAACAAAACATGTCTCGCTCGATAAAAACAAATGTGTTTGCTTTCAGACGAATTCGTGTCCACTCTGCAGATATCAGTTACCGACTGACGATGAGGAATACGAAATGTACAGACAGGAAAAACAACGCGCAATTGTCAGGGAAAAAGATCTGGAAACTTTACACAATTCAATGTTTCTATAGAAATATATGTATATTTTGTTTATAAACGATGTGTTCTATTTCTTGACATTAAGCCTTCATTAACGTTAAATTATTATACATAAATACTATTAAGAGGCTTGTAAAAAGGTATATGAATAGGATTTAAGGGTACTTGATAATATAATTATGTATTAATTATTTTTAAACATAGAATATTGCTGTTATTAACAAATCGCATGAAAGAAATGTATTGACAGAATTTGGAATGTCATTTTGATAAAATATGTATTAATTTTATTTTAAAATATAGAGTCTGTTATTCAATTATTAAATATTATTATTTACTGGTCATTGTTGTACTCAATTTTGGTAATTTATTCAAATTATTTCTTAAATACTTTGTTGTATTTCTTAAATAATTTATTTATGATTGTAGCAGTCGAGGCCCATATAAAATCAATCAAATCAAATATTTATTTACTTTCTAGTGTTTGTCTCAGCTGGTAAAAAAAATAATGCAAAAAAACTGTATACTTTGTCAAATTAATAAAAAATTATTACATAGTCTATATCACCAAATTAAGTGTGCAAATGATTATACTTTGTTATATATAATATACTTTGTAATTAAAGATTAAGTAACTGTTTTATTTTACTCACCTACTTTTGAAAATAATTTTCATACTTTTTGATGTAAAATATATATTCATTAAATAAATTTAATTATTTGAAGTGAAAGTTTAACTGAAAGTGTCAATCATTGTACAGTATATTTTATTTTGAATGTTATTGAACTTTATAACATTATAGTAATGGCTCAATCTTCTCATGCATATAGAAATATTTAGACAAATTGATTTCCTTTAATTGTTATTGATTAGATATAATAACTGTTCATGAGATTTACATATAAATACATATGTCACTGAATATTTAGTAATTAATTGAACCATGGATTCTTATACATAGTGGACACGTATAGAAATATTTATATAAATTGATTTTCCTTGATTGCTATTAACTACATACAATGTTCATGATGCCCACATATAAAAACATAAACTAAATAATTAAACTTCATAATTAATAAGCTATGTGTAGGAACTTATATTAAAATCATGTTTCAAGCGACTTCTGAGGACAACAAAAAACTTTATGCATAAGAGGTTTAAATTCAAGTAAATCTAGTAGTAACAATTATATAAAATTTCCATTTACAAAAATTCCAATATTAAAATAGCATAGGTAGATAGAAATATTTGGATTAGGTGATAAATAAAAAGGCCACCGTTTATTAATAGGAAATAATGTTTATTATACAGTGTACATATTTATTAACTTCATTTATTTTATTTCTGTTATAAATTTTATATTAATAATTGTATTATGCTTTGCCGAGCGACGAATGCCTTGATCAGTGTGCGCTTAATCTATAACAATCTCCGTAAAAAGTATAGAAACTTCTGCTTTTTATTTTGTTCGTTTGTTTGTTTTCCTTTCCTCCTACCTCCCTTATCTTCGTCCCGTCAACCCTTCTACCTACCCCCCAACCCCGATCCCCCTTTGACAATGATCACCGTGAGTTATACCACCAAAGAGTATCGCCAAAATATGTTGCGCTGAAAACGGCATAATCGTTCGGCATATACAAATAATAGTACTGTCGAAGTTAAAGTAATTGGCGGATTATTCATTTCCTTTGTTCATTTTTTTGGCCGGTGACGGCATTTCGTGTCGAAATGGCTCGTCTCTGCCGCCGTCGCCGCCGCCATCGCAACACTGCGGTCGCGTCTCATCTTTTTTTTTTCAAAATTTTCTCCCCTTGAAATACTTCACCCTAGGATTAGTATCTGTTATCAATTATCTTTATAATATGCGTAATAATATAAATAATGTCGTTAATATAGCTATAATGATTACCGTTTTTTTTCATTTAATGATAAACTATCTGAATGGTACATTCTCTTTGCTAATGGCCATGTCCGTTATAGCTAATTTATGTAGTCTGTATGCGAGCTCCGAATGGGATAAGGTACGTCGTACAGAGAACTTTTCGGCTCGGCGTAGTTTGTTTGTTTACCTCGTTTCATTTTTTTTTGTTTGTTTTGTTTTTGATTGAATACAAAGAAGAACGAACGGAACGAATCGAGAATTAAAAACGAAACGAAAAAAGAAAAGGACTATTCGACGAATACAGGAACACGTCTGTGGCGTGAAAATGCGAACGTCGAAGAACCTTCCTTCGTTTACCGATTCGTGAAATGTTTACACACAGCAACGTGTTGTTTCTCATCTTTGTCCTCTTTTTCTTTCGCGATCTCGTTCGATCGTTTTCCGTGCTAAACAAAGTTCAATAAAACGGTCCCCGTCCGAACTCAAAGACAACGATTCGGCTTCCGTTGAAAAGGCGCGAGTCGCGTTAAACAAGCATCGGGAAGTTTTGCATGTCAACAATCGAAAGATAAAAGGAACTTTCATCAAACGACACGCAAAACGGTACTTCACGATCCTCGACGAAATGTAGGTTCTTTCGAAGTACGCTTAAAAAATTCTCTCTCCCATTCTCTCTGTCTTTCACACGGTCTTTTGTTCTCCTCCTTTCTCTCGACTACTTCTCGCACACATCACCGTGTTCTAGTCTTGATATATAAATGTACGACGTTAATTAATGTCATCCAGATTCTCTGTAGTTATGCGTGTCACATGTGTACGTGTGCCTCTGTGTACGTGTGTGTGTTTCTATGTGTGCGTGTGTATGTAGATAATTTCATATTTTTCGTTCTCGCTTTTGCTTGAATGTATGTATCTAGCTTCCTAACGTAAATGTTAAGTATAATTATTTTTATTTTTATATAATGTATTAGTTTTTTTCTTGTTATAATAATAATCATAATAATAATAATCATCATCATCATCATCCCATAATAATCATAATCGATAACCATAATAATAGTAATAATAATATTAACCGTCATCACCGTCGTGATCATAATCGCGATGATGCCGTTAATTCGTCATATTGATATACATTACATATTTATATTACACGTTCCTTATGAAAATAATAATCCAAACTGGCATATCTTCCGTTCGCGCTGTTTTCTCAAATTTTCCCCCTTAATTATCGATCTCTCTCTCTCTCTCCGCTCCTTTCCCCTCGCCATTTTTCGTTCTCGCCCCTCTGCGCTCTCTTACGTTCGTTAGACTTTTACAATAACAATTCTATCGCTAGTAGAAACGGTCGATTTCGTAACCTTGGAACGAGTTCTCGAGACGGGACGCTTCAACGATCAACCAATCGCATCGCGATTCGATATAACTTTTATTTTACAGCGACTTTACATCCTGCCGTGAAATTATTAACACTCGTAACGCCATTGACCACCATTTGCCGTTTCTTGCGTGCGCTTGAAAGTCTCCATCGAGACGAGTCGCCTCGGCCCCAGGAAACACTTAAGCCGTGTCTTTTTATTTACAATCTCATCTATAATCCTTCAAACGATGTTATTCGAACGCGTTCCGAGAATAAAATGGATGCGAGTAAAATCGAGTTACAATCTTCCGGTTGGGTTTCATTTTGTCTCGTCGGGCCACCGCGAGTCGTCTCGATTCTCTCGTTTTTTCTTAATTTCCCTTTTCTAAATACATATACAATATCGAAATATTTCTATAACCGCGAATCTTATCATTGTTTCGCGCATGCTTTCGTAAAATTTGTCGCGTTGATATGCTAAAACTCTCCCACCCCTCGCTTATCATACTCTCATTATATAAATTACTCCTTATCTAACGTTGCCTCGATTTCTCGTTTGCTTTCTTTTTCCGATTTCGTAGTCCCGCGATTTTTGTTACCGGTCTTCTTCCTTCACTCACACATGCACCCACTTGCATACAGTAACTTTATTCGTGTGCCGTTGCATGTTCTTTCGGCTTACAGTTCTCTATATAGGTACAATAATCGTTTCCTTTTGGACTAAAAATGATTACCGATGTCAATAGCGATACCTTGATAATAATAGTAACAATAATAATAATCGTAGCAGTAATAATAATAATCGAGAATGATAATAATAGATTCATCGTGCGACCAATTTACAAATTTTATAATAACGATTCTACATCGTCAGCAAAGATTAATGTCGCACTTACAGTAAATAGTTTGTATCATTTTTTCGCACGCTTCTTTGCGTCTCTTCACTTTCTTTCAATTGAATTTCGAATACAGAACCGATGTAATCCCTTTCAGTCTTAGATTTTTAACCCTCTAAAGCTGAGTCAATCCTAACCTACAAAATTGCTTTAAACAAAATTGAACTTGGTTTTAGTATAAAGTTTCGTTTGAAATTGTTGTATACTGCAAAATATTCTGAAGGAAAACTTAAAGTTTAGGGAACGAAAGTGAGAAGTGTAAAATTGAATTTGAATTTTCTCAGTGGTTCCAAGGGTTAAAACGTGTACTTTTCTATTGTTCCATAAAATGACGCTCATTCAGAGAGCATGGAAAAACGAACGATTTAATTTATTGAAACTAAAGTACACTTGGATACAGCGTTTCGAAACAGTTGAGATACAATTTCGAAAGAAACCGCTAAGATATAAAAATGTTGGATTTTGAAATAATTTTCAATATACAAAAATTATGAGATGTTTGTTTCTTGAAACGAAAATTGTGACACGATGCTCCATTTTGTAGCGTGAACGTTGCATCTGTTCATCACATATGGACGATGGACTTTTATTAATTCAAAATTTTCAGTAAATATTGTTTTTCCGTTGTGTAATCAATTTGTTATAAAAATCAATGAGAAAAGTAACGGTGATTAGTATATTGATTTTAGAGCACTAAATAACTGTCAATATAAGAGAAAAATAGCACTCAGCTAGCTTTTTTATACGGTTATATAAAAAATTAGATTTTTGGATTTTATGCATGCTCTAAATTGAAAACTTTTACAAGTTTTAAATGTTAGAAACAGGTATACTGTGACATTCAAATTCGTGAATTTTTTTTGGTAATATTTTTCCATGAAGTTATATTAAATACTTGTCCAATGCTATTTTTGTC